ATCATTACTAAAGTATCGTTTTAATCATTATCGTTATAAATATTCACATGCCACATCAACCTCAACAACGCACTCACTACGTTAAGTTCACGGCTCGCTGGAACAGAAACGATCAAGCAAAACTAATCATCGATCATTTTCAATATATGTTTCATTCAGTGGCGAATTCAAAATATTATACCGAATAATTGCATTGATTTTCGACTTATGCATGAATAATCTGCTGGTATGTTCATTTTGTGCAGCTCACTGGGTATCTCTAAGCATCACTATTATCATTGTTATCAATATTAATATTGTTATCATCATTATTATACATCATGATACTGGAGCCTTGCTTCCTGAATGTTTCCGTTTACAAACTGTTTCAGTTCAAGAACAAAATTTTAGGCAGAAATCAGCATTGGTTTACGAGTTATCTCCGTTCACGAACTTTCTCGATCAGAGGTCAAGTTGTGAACATACGACTGGTGTGTAATAGTGCTTGAATACCGTTCATCTAGCAAATTTGGTCAATTTTACTTTTCCAAATAACTTCCAACAATTTCATCGTCCCTTATCATCTAGTTTTGTTCCTTTGCTATTCATTCTGTCTCGAAGGTTTATCGCTACCATCTTCCTTCGTCGCTACAAATCAATCGACTGCATATGTGATCTTGTTTGCTCACCACAATGTTCTGCACGACCTGATGATGATGATTTCCAACCCTAAGGGAGAAAGAATTTTTTCCATTTCTGTTCATTTCTGATAAACAAACTGTTGTCTAGACTTATTGAGTTAATGAATGTACACGTCTTTCGCTCCATTGCTCGAATGGAACTGACGTTGGATTTTGCAACATTAATTAGGACATTTCTTGTGTATTGTTTCATTGCAGTTGCTTGGCTTTACATTAGCAATGAAAACATTCACGAGGAAAAATTCGGTTAGCTGCAGTGAATTAATTCGTTTTCCATTGATTATTAGGGAAAGGCATGTTTCGATTTACGAACTTTTCGCTTTATGAAGCGAGTGTGGAGTGAAGAGAATTTAAATCGTGAACGACGTTCCATTGCACATTTTTATGTCATCGTCATTATTGTTGTGGTTACTATTATTGTTGTTAATACTATCAACGTTATTATGTTAATACTTTTCCACTATCTCTTCATTTCCCAAAACGCATTGAATACTAATGAAATTTTACGAAGCCAGTTCCGATGAACAGAAATATAAAACTGACTATTCACTATTGGAATCAAGAGTAAAATTCAAATTTGAATTTAAAATCGAGTTCACAGTTGTTCACTGTTTGGTTTTACAGTTTGCTGTCTTGCCAGTAATTTCCTCAATTTCGGATTGCATTAGACTGGAAGAGGGATATCATGCGAGATTGTATGGAATGTGAACATAAAAACTACCTGAATTATCAGGTATTGATCGAATCAATCTTTGATAAAATTGATCACTGGTGATCAAATTTTGTTCTATTCAGTAACTGTTACATAAGCATGACTAAATATCATCAAAGCAACTGTTGCACGCAATATATCAAATATTTAATATCAATAAGTTAATTAATTACAAATATTACAATCTTCCAAAAGAGATGATCTGAAGATGTATTTGCTGAGTTCGTTGGTAACAGTAAAAGTTGTAGTTGAATGTTGTATACTCCTGATAAGTTTTGAAATTTGATGATGAGGAAATAAAAATTGGTGACAAATGTGCAAGAAGAAGAAATTGTTGTAAGAATCAAACGAATTCATAGAAAATGAGAATATATCGCAATTAAATCCACGATAAAATCAGTTGATCACAGACTAAAAGTTGTTCCGATCAAAATATTACTCACCTCAAAAATTATTCACACATTCCAATGGAAGTAATTTCAGTAAGCGGAATCATGCATTAATTATAGCGACATTCAACTCCGAATAATCGGTGGCGATTAACAAATGCCGGAATGAAAGCATATAGCAGTAATGGGCGGATGAAGAAAATCAGCTGAACACATTTTTCAACATTCTTAACAATGAATAATTTCTCAGATGGTGTGATTCAACGCCGAACTCAATAAATCCTTCAACCACCAGACGCAAGGAAATCTCTGAAAACAATCTGAAACACAATTCGATTTGTTCGTTGAAGAAGAGTCAGTCGATGGCGAATCAATAAAAAGTCATTTTATGATTTGCATCCATCTAATATCTATTCAGCTATGCGTAATCCAACCAATCATGCGTTTATCCGTCAATGACTCGGCTGAGCCATTTCAACATCAACAACNTTTGATCACAGAATGAAAGTAATAACTAACATAAGATGAAAGAAACTGCAGCAGCAACTCCTCAAACATATCAACATATCACACAACTAATAATAAGTAAACCAGTAAACAACACACAACAAAATGCTATTCATAGCCTCATGCATTCTTCATTCTTCATTTTTTCATCGAACCATCCCATCCGTGCATGATTGCCGTCTTAAATCATTCATCTCACTCACCATCAATCCACCCTCTCATCTATTCATCCAACAGCATCAACCCACTTAATCACGTCGCTTGGGAACGTCAATCAGTAGTGCTTCGGGTTGAGTGTGATTAATTGCTTTTGTTTTCTGTTCAAACAACATACTGAATGCCTAATGAATTATCAAATAAATGAAGCACTTTTTTCTTCTGATCGTGTTTATCATTCAGCCATTTACTGTTAACACACTAGCTACCAGAAGAATACACTATCAAATAATACCCTAACAATAGGAGTATATTGTTGAAGAATATTCACAATTCGAAATATTTCCGGTTTGATGAGAGCAAATTGACATAAGTAAACGACGAGTTAACTGAAAGTGTTACGATTAATACACACTTATGCCTAATAAATATTAATAAATTGGAACTTATATTTACTATTATATGGACATATAACACATGATATGCAGTATGTATCCGGATAAGAGTAAACATAAGCGTTAATAATGTTAATGACCGTGGGGGAATGTTCAGCTCGGAATCGAGTGGTGTATCGGTACCATTCATTGACGTTATCGAGTCTGAGCCATGCTATGACTCGGTTTGTATCTAATTACAGCATCGACGTGGTTAGATGTTTGATCTTGTTTGTATGTCAACAGAAGAAGGTAATTTTATCATTTATAAACATGATACATTCACAAATCTTCTACGCGAAGCATTTTCTTTCTGATTAAATTAAGGATTTCAGATAATGATTATTAAATTAACATTTACATGTGCATATACAAATTGACTTGATTCAAATTGAACAATGTCTTTTTTTGCTGCATTCCCTGGAGGAAAGTCATGAAAAAGGATTGAAGAAGTAATAAAATTTGAACGCGATCACATGCAATAATTTCTTCGCATGGGAGAGCAGATGGAAATATGTGAAGATAATTATTATCCGGAATTCAAAGGTAGCGCATTATAGTAAAGAGAGAACATTTCCTGAACAACTCAATTAAACTATCATTCAAATACCAACATATCAATGGAACGGCCTAATCTTGTAGATAATCTCCTCTTAAGCTCAACGAATTTCGCTTAGTATTAATCATATTTTCGCGAGAGCTTTCCAAAACAATAGATATTGAAAAGACCAACAATGAAGCTAATCTTGCGATTTCAATGAAAATGCGCAAATGAGTGAAGTAATTCACGCTTTTCATTAAAGGCTCAACGATAGAACCGCTCAAAAACTCCGTCAAAATCGCACGGTATNTAACAACACAAAAACTGCTCAGTCATAATGTACCCAAAAAAGTAAAGAAACAAAAATCGCTCATAGATCATAGTTGATAAGAGAGAAGAGCGATCAATCTGAAGAAAACGTCGAAATGTTGTTTCAATGCACAATCATTATGTAATTAATCATTACTTCGATTACACGTCATCAAAATATGGCTGACTGAGTTTGGCTTTAACGTCGTCACCTTATCAAATACATATTAAATCAATTGATTAATTGTTCAAAGAAATTCCGAATAGTTTTAACTTCATTTGCAATATTTGTTTTCGAGGACCGGTTGTGGGCACCCGTCAAATTTCTCTTATTTTGTTTTCGTTTCGTTGGTAATGAATATACGGAAATCAGCTGCGATTATTATCGGTTCGTGTTTGTTTGCTTATTCGTTAATGAATTTGTTCAAGTCACTATTTTTTTCAAGAAATCTCTCAATTTTCTCGAAAAATTTTCGCGGAAATGAATTAATTTTCATTTTTAACCGTTTATCTAGCTGGAATGATGGCCAAAAATTTTCAACATCGTGTTCAGAATTAGAATTTTTTAAGCTGATGGTTCTCTTGAGCGGAGTGGGCAGTTCAGATATTGAGAAATTGACAAAATTCTATAAGTTATTGGCTTTTTCTGTGGCTGGGAATGTTTTGATAATAGATTAAGATTTATAAGTTGAGTTGAAGCTGGCTAAAAGCATGCATCTACATTAAAATGTTCTTCAAAGAGCATCGACACGAGCAATATTTTATGACGACATATGAGCACATTTTTATGATACGAATTAACATCAATCGTCCCACTTGTTCCTTCGTGAAACCTTTCTTTTTCACTCTAAAACAAGCAAAAATTTGTGTTCGACACTCTCCAGGGATTAGTTTCGGCTACTTTTTATTAGGATCATTTCACACGATGTCCAATTTCACCGTTTTTGATTTCATCTGAAATTTTCATGTGACCGTTAACGCAAATGAACAATATCAGATAATATTTGAGTCAGATTTTCGATCTTTAAGATTCTTTGAATTCAGAGAATAATAACGCTAGCAGTTATAATATTGCCTAATAAAACAAATAAAGCAATAAATAAGAATAAGAATAATCACAGTAATAATATCTGACTCAAACAATAGTAATAACAATTATATTAGTAATAATAACAATAGAATAGCAATAACAATAAGAATAATAGTAATAATAACAATAATAATAACAATAAAACTCTTATTATAGTGAATGCGAAACAAGGTAAATTGTTGATGGGACGGCGATGTAGTCGAAGCTCGTTTCTACCGAACGCTTTCGTATTTCCGGGTGGTATGGTCGACGATACTGATAAGGCGATGCCGTTATCAGTAACAAATTTATCACTTAATGATAATATCAGCAGGATAAACAGTAATGACGAGAATGCCAATGTACCAGATGATTACGAACAACGAATCGCTGCTATTAGAGAACTTT